CATGTTGATGAGCGGATACTTCACAAGTTTCCTGACCCCATTTTATAATAATATTAATAGCATTTTTTTAACATTCTAAACATACATTGCGTTATTTTAAGGATTGGCTGTAGTCCCTAAAATAATGCAATTAAATTATATTTATACATTGACAGTGCCATCCAAATACCTGAACTACGGCTGAAAAAAACTGTCAATTTATGGTTCTCATGACTTTCCGGTATAGGTCAGACCAAAAATTTGTCCGAGAAATGGCTGTAGGCTCGCACCCATACCATAAGGTATACCATAGTACTTATATTGCTTTGCATGTGTATCGCGGGCGTCATGTGACAATGTCATGTTTATAGTTCATTTGTATATGCGACGATTGCCAGTTTCGTTCGGGTTGGCCGTCTGTTGATCATTCCAGTTACATATAAAGGAAATCATAGATGAGCTAGTTGGCACCTATTGTCAACTTATAGACATATATGGCTTTTTGATGACCCTCAAGTTGAAATAATAAAAATATCCATGGACAATTCTCACAATGCCATCTAGTCCTAACCAGAGCTTGTGTTGTGGTACTAAACAACTGATATAATTACTAAATTCTTTTTAATTAGATATATAAGATACATAGGAAACACCCAGACTAATATAGACAATCATACTCATAAATATAAATGTGCGAGGAATCGAACTCGCCACCATCGGAATGTAAGGCAGTTTACTAAACCGCTAGGTAGCCGCGGCCGTCAAATTCACGTCTTTTAGAAGTCTGTAGGCCGGATTAAGTAAACTATTACTTCACAGCAGTTTCAATTCCTTTTTTTAATATTTATAACTTAAATCTAAATAATTAATGTTACATGTAACGCAAATTGGACCAAACAAAAGACAAGGGTCAAGTACATAGATGAGCTTGCCACTTTTTTCCTGTGCAAATCTGTTTAAACCCGTCTGGTTCATAGACTTGCGGCCGCATCGGACCCGCGCTTTATTAGTTTAGGACCCTATTACTACGGTGTATAAGCACAAAGGAGCTTTATTAAACCTCATTCGGTATGTTCGTTTCTCGTGCCTATTTTTTGTTGTACCAAGTCGAAGGATAACTATGTTTGGTTTGTGCGACATCTGCTGTTTGCTCAGCTGAATGCGCGCGTAAAAACAATAGGAGCGCCTAGTGTTTGTATATTCGCAAAAATATGCTTCATACCCAAAGTTAGATGACTGCAATATTTCTTTGGTGTGTTCATTTATTGGCAAAAAGTTTTCATATTCCAGAAATCTCTAATTGAAATTTTGAATGTATTGTTTTATTGTTTTTTGTGATTGACGGCCGGACGACGGACGGATGGATTGGTCTAAGCGGTTTAGCACACCACTTTACTTCTGATGTAGTCGGTTCGATTCCTCGCACGGTATAAACATTTGTATTCATAAGTATGATTGTTTATGTATGTAGGGTCTTTTCTATGTAAATTATGTATGTATTTAAAAAAAACTAAGTATTTATGGATTATCCCATAACTAGTACCCATAACACAAACTTTGCTTATCTTAGGACTTGAGGACGTTATATGAATTATCCAGGGGTATTATTATTATTAGTATGTATCTAACCGAGATATTATGTCACTAGATATTTATTATTGTTAAAAAAACAGCACTTTTGAAGTAAAAATTATCCATTAGTTCATTAGTTTCTTATTTTTATTTTCGTTCCGATTAAAATACATCGTATAACTTTTTCAAATGAAAAGTTAGGGTTATACACGTATATGAAAACAAACTGCTTTTGTTAAAAGTAAGAATGATAAAACACGTACGTTTTTCATATGTTGCTTTGTCTAATTCGTGTAACAAAGTATAGGACGAAAAAGAGCACGGAATGAATGCGGTGGTTTTTTATTAAATTACTCGGGGACTGTGACAAACAGTGGCCGCTTGCTCCTTGGTAGTTCATATGCTCCCGGCGACCGCGCCAATAAAATACGTGTGACAACCCGCCCCACTCACCCCCTGTGCTTCTTAGGGATGTGACATTGGGCATAAAAATCGTTTATTAATTAGTCGTTTGATTTTCATATCACATTCATATTCATCAAAATCGATTAATTTATGAATTTATACCTCTAGGTAGTTTCTTGACAATTGGCACTCAGAGGATGTTCGATCATCCAATCTAGGCTGCCCACCCCAGGTGTTTCTTGGCCAGAGTGTTAAACTTTGCTTAGTTCCTTATAGATCTTGTCTCTTAGACACATTGCTCGGATGAAAAAAACATAGGGTATAATAATATCGATTCTCATTGAATCGCTTTATTGAATTGTTATATAATCAGCTAACAATTCGATTTATTTTCTAGTCGAATATTATTTCACATCCCTAACTTTTACGTAGCATTTTTACTTGCCAGTTGCCACTGTTGCTAATTAAATTAGAGCACCTCCAGCTAAGACTACACAATTTTAGCGCTGCGCATTTTAAAATACGTTTTTACACGGTGACTTTTTGTCTTTACGCCTTTTCTTTCGCTACGGGCAAATTGTGTCGTTTTGCGAGGCGGCACCGACACTTGTGAATGTAGTTGGGTAAAAAGCAATGAAACTCTGAGGCCCGGGGCTTTCTGATGCTAATATAGTACGCGGCTTCCCCGCGCTTTTCCTCTCGTGATGCTGTCTGTTGCATTACGACAACTGAAATTGCACCTTCTAAACATTGCAATTTCATAGTGTTAAAGAAACGAATACACAAGTCAGGCAACTTCAAAAAGAATGAAACTAAGAACCCCACCCTATTGTACCTTTTTTATGTAGTTTATCGTTGTTATATATGCATCAATGTGAATTGTATTTTTGGGGTATATTCTCTTGTTGGTTAATTCCTTATGGACTAAAAGTATCTTATTTTTATTAAATTCCGTGTAACTTACATTGACTGGTGCCTAATAATTAACCAGAATGAAATGTAGTTTAGCCCTATAATAAAATTGGACTAACCGTGATATTTTTTAAAGCGTAGAGGACAGACGAGCATACTTAACTAATTGTAAGTGATTACTATCGACCATGAGCACCCGCAAAATCAGAGTAATTGCAAGTGCGTTGCCGGCATTTTAAGAAGGAATATGCTCTTTTCTTTAATTTGTGGTAGATGTGGACCTATAATTACAAATTTATAAAATTGTAAATGTAAATTGTGAATATATTGATGTATGATATAATATAGATAACATAATAGTTAACATAATAGACATATTTATTATATATCATTTAACTTTTAATGGATTACCATTAAAAGTTAAATGATATATAATAAATATGTACATATTTATTATATAGATATCTCTGTAAAAAAACAATAACAAGAAGTACAAAGAAAATGTGAAAATCTTCATGTAATTGGCTTGGTTACGTGATCAATTTACTATGAATTTTGTTTTTAAGTAACAGTATTTCATTTCATGACTATTCCTAGCTCTTAGCTTGAGGTTTTTTTTTGACAAATCTATTAGGCACATTGATTGAAGTAGAAAAAGTATAATCCATCACATTTAAAATAAGTATTGTTGCTAAGTAACAGTTTGTGTGTAACGTGCAACTGCAATCGGAACGAAATAAATTATATTTACAACTGTATATGAATCCACTGAATATCTCTATCAAAATCACACATCGCTATCTGGTCCTAAGCAAAGCTTCTGTTATGGTATCAGACAACTGATATATAGGTACATTTTTTTGTACATACATACGGAATATACATAGAAAACATCCAGACTTGTACAAACAATAATACTCATGAATACAGATGTATGACTGTGATAAGAATCAAACCCGCGACTATCGGAAGTTAGGCGGTGTGCTAAACCACTAAACCACCGAGATCGTCGACTCGTCGTCGAGATATAACCGTTATGATTTACACTGTATAACAGTTATGTCCCAAAAAGCAAATGAAGCTGAATAACAGGCTATAAATGAAACGGAGAAAAACATATAAACTGCTACTTTCACATACAGGCCGAAAGGAATAATTATTTCTCCCACTGACCACATTTAGCGGTAAGCGGATTATCCTAATTGACTGCGACATTGCTTTCGTCCATTTCTTCTCTCTATTACTTGACCACCGGTCAAGGATTCATAATAAAGATGTATTACTTCTATTATAGAAATTTGTTGAGAGCGTCGTAGATCGGTTGTTACTACCCTGGCTTTCACCGAAATGTTGTAAGATTGAATATAGCTGACTAAAAAAACATTTCCGGTGCAGGTAATATCAACACAAACAAAATGTAACTGACAGTAGACGATGATCATGTTTCATTAATTTCTAAACATAATTTCAATAAAGTCAAATTTTATCTAATCTGAAAGTACCGGTGTTTTAGTAATTATTATCATTAGTGTAATAATGACAAAGTCTGCTGAGATGATATAAATTAAAAAATCGATTTATATAGGTGTCGTCTCTAGAAAATTTAATTTAATAAGAAATGCAATTCCCCAGCTCAACTCGCTTCTGTATACTGGCATCTACATACTGTTGAATAAATTAAAATTCATTATAGTTCACCTCAACGAAAGATAGCTCTGCTTAAAGAATTACGAGAACATGGTAAGACAAAGATGCGACATTATGCTTTAGCCACATACTACACATCTTATGTTGTTGTAGCCCACCCATGCGTAAACGAAAGATCTCCTTTGGAATGTTTACACTCTATCATGAGGACATAAAAAACCATCACTCTTAAGAATATCCTTCAATTCTTGCCCCTGACGGGTCAGGGTAGAGAACTCTAAAAAAGGGCGAACACAATTGATCTATATAGGTCGCAGTGCTACAGGTAAAGCAACTGACAATAGTCCAAACCCCTCAGTAAACAAAATAGACTTTAGCAGAAAATCCTACCTACTAAATACCGAAGCTCAGAGCCTAGATAGTTATGTGTGAATTGTCCCGTGATATTGTTACTATATGATTTATCTTGCTTTTTTTCTTCCTAGGTCCGATGGGTACAGCAACAGCGGGAACGGCGGAGAGTTAAACGTGATTATAATCCGTATGATGGCGGTTTATTCTCGTTAGCTCGGAGACCGACTCATCGCACACATCATCGAGCACTCTCTTCTTTACCTTTCTTTCCTGATCCGTTGTTCAAGGAAGAATGGTATTTGGTTAGTATGATTTTCTCTTATTAATTGTTTAACCAGTTGTTGTGTATTCAATATTTTTTATATTTGATTATTGAATTAGTGCTAATCGGTAGTTTATATGCACACACTTAGAAATTTAAATTGTAAAGTAAGAATAAAATTATTTAAAAGAGCAACACACAAGTTTCTTGCTCGTTCTTCTTGTGATGAGACAGCTTTCCGAATGAGCGATAGATTGATGATGATGATATGTTGACAGAATGGTGGTGCTAAAGATGGACTAGATATGAACGTTGCACCGGCGTGGCAGAAAGGTTATACTGGAAAGGGAGTAGTAGTTTCTATCCTTGATGATGGTATACAAACAAATCATCCGGATCTCGCGCAGAACTATGTAAGTAGTTATATGACGTAATCATTGTTTTTTTAGTTTCTTAGCTATTATTAATATGGTCGTATTTTTTAAGTTGGATGAATTTAGATTAATCGCCTATCGTTCAATTTGAAGATGCAGTCCAAGTGGTTCTTTTCCTAAATATATCTGAATAGTTATGAAAGTAACAAATAAACATTAATTATTTAGTTTAATTGAAGAGTCTTGTGAATTTATCACAACTATAGTTTTATCATTGCCTTGCCATTATCCCATTATTTGGATCGGCGCAGTATTTCATCCTTTTCTACTGATCTCTATCGGCCGTTATGACGGTTATGACGTTAGATATGTCTAAGTATACTCTCCTTTCATTCATGTCATCTTTCACACAATCCATCCATCTTTTTTGTTTCACCTCTTCCTTTCCAACATTAAGCTTATGTTTTGTATGTTTTCTTATGTACCTAATATAAATGTTGAGAACACTTTATAATTCTTAATATTTATACAGAAATGTTAATGTGATTAGAATTTGTAACATATTTAATATTTGTTGAATAACCATAAAAATAATATTGTTGAATGAAGGAATATGTAAAGTACAATTGAAATTACCATTATATTTTAACACTATATGTCGGATTATATTTATAACTAACAATAATTTTGGTATTAATATTAATTACTCCTGTCTCATAACTAACAGTATTAAAGTGTCATCTTAGAAAGCTTCTAATTTCACGAGAAGGATGGTTTAGTGTCAATATACTTAGGAAGTCCAGGTATTAATTATTATAGTGCTATTAATCGTACAGCCTAAATGATCATATCTCATCCTTGTTCTAGTAGTAAGGGATTAATAGACACAAACCGCTCGCGTATTATCTCCTAAGTCGCCAAGGCAAGGTGATTACGTAAATTACTTATAAATTTATACATTAGATGTAGTAAATGGTTGTGTCTGATTTTACTCATGTAGATTTTATTTTTAGAAGTAAAATAAACACTAATTATAAACCTTGACAAATTCCCATAGCGTCGTCTGAATTCATACAAAATTTTACAACACTTATTAAACTTCTTTTGTTTGCAAATCAATATTATTCGAAGTCTCCCAGATTAGTACAAAAGATGAATATAAATAATGTGTTATTGAGGGATTTTTGAACAAGAGTCTAGTAAACCTTTTCTAGCTGTTTCAATCTAAACTCTTAATTTTCAAATCTGTATTTTAGATAACAATGAACAATCAATGCCTGTTACTGATTTATGAAATTCATTTAAAAAAGGAAACTTTACCTTTATAATTTATTTCTGTTTGTACTATATTGTAATGGCATTTTCCTTATAATACAGCATTGTTGTGATGTTTTTAAAATTAAAAAATACGTTATAGGATCCAAACGCTTCAACGGATATAAATGGTAATGATGAAGATCCCATGCCCCAAGACAACGGTGATAATAAACATGGTACAAGATGCGCTGGTGAAGTGGCCGCAGTCGCGTATAATCAATATTGCGGTGTGGGTATTGCTTACAATGCTAGTATAGGTGGAGTCAGGATGTTGGATGGAGTAGTAAATGATGCAGTTGAAGCTCGGGCCTTAGGGCTCAACCCTGATCACATAGATATTTATAGTGCTTCTTGGGGACCAGAAGATGATGGAAAAACTGTGGATGGTCCTGGCCCGCTAGCAAGGAGGTGAGAAATCTAGTTTATTCTATAGTATGTCAGCATTAATCCTATTAGTTTTTCTTAATCATTTTATGACGTTATTATGTTTATAATTATTTATTTTTAGGGCATTCATCTATGGAGTAACCAGTGGCCGTAATGGCAAGGGATCTATATTCGTATGGGCGTCAGGAAATGGCGGTAGACATACAGATTCTTGTAATTGCGATGGTTACACAAATAGTATATTTACGCTCTCAATTTCTAGTGCGACTCAGGGTGGATACAAACCCTGGTACTTAGAGGAATGCTCATCTACATTAGCTACTACATACAGTTCTGGCACTCCCGGCCATGACAAAAGTGTGGCTACTGTTGATATGGATGGAAGACTTAGACCTGATCATATCTGCACTGTCGAACATACGGGTACTTCAGCGTCTGCACCTTTAGCAGCCGGTATATGTGCACTAGCCTTAGAAGCTAATCCAAACCTAACTTGGAGAGATATGCAATATTTAGTAGTGTTAACATCCCGCCCATTACCATTAGAAAAAGAAAACGGATGGATTGTTAATGGAGTCAAAAGGAAAGTTAGTCACAAATTTGGTTACGGGTTGATGGATGCAGCTGAGATGGTCAACTTGGCTGAACAATGGGTATCTGTACCGCCCCAGCATATTTGTAAATCACAAGAGAATAGTGAAGATAAGCCTATAGAATCTTCTTTTGGTTACACATTGTCAGTGTCAATGGATGTAACTGGATGTAGGGATACAGTAAATGAAGTACGCTATCTGGAACATGTTCAATGTAAAATATCTTTAAGGTTTTTCCCACGGGGAAATCTACGTATACTTTTAACTTCACCAATGGGTACTGTTTCGACACTCTTATTTGAAAGACCCCGAGATGTTGTTAGTTCAAATTTCGATGATTGGCCATTCTTAAGCGTTCATTTTTGGGGTGAACACGCTGAAGGTAGATGGACTTTACAAATTGTAAATGGTGGCAATAGACATGTTAACCAGCCAGGTATATTAAAGAAATGGCAATTAATATTTTATGGTACATCTGTTGATCCTATAAGATTGCGATCTAAAGCTAGACCATCGCCTGTAGCTCCGCAATATGCTTTCCCGACCGCTGCGGACGGTTATGACTCAATCGGTGACCCTTTTTACAACACTGACGCGTTTGCTAATTACCAAAACTTTCCCTCTTTATTTGCCGCTGGGTCAGATCCCGAAAAAGCGGTAGCCCGTCTCGACGGACATAATGTCCCTTCACCGCATGGGGAAAATGTCCTCGCTGATAGTAATGACAAGCGCGTCATGCACCAATGTGATCCCGAATGCGATTCTCAAGGATGCTATGGAAAAGGACCCAGTCAATGTATTGCTTGCAAACATTATCGTTTAGATGACGCCTGTGTCTCCCGATGCCCACCAAGAAGTTTTGCAAACCAAGGAGGCATTTGTTGGTCATGTCATGAAACATGTGAGACTTGCGTTGGTCCAGGGCAAGATTCGTGTTTAACTTGTGCTCCAGCACATTTATTAGTAGCGGATTTAGCTGTATGCCTTCAACAGTGCCCTGATGGATATTGGGAAGATAGTGAGTCTTCAGTGTGCAGACCCTGTGCTGCACATTGCGCGACGTGTTCTGAGCGAGCGGATGCTTGCACTTCCTGTGAACATCATTTAGTACTCCATGATGGAACTTGTGTGGCTTCTTGTCCCCCATCATATTATGAAACTGAAGACTACATGTGTGCCAAATGTCATTCATCGTGCGTAACATGCGAAGGACCTGGAGAAGTTCAATGTGTGACATGTCATCCATCAAGTTATGCTTTGGAGGGACGTTGTTTAACATCTTGCCCTAGTGGCTACTTTGCCGATAAAAAGAGAAAAGAATGTATGAAGTAAGTATTACATTTTTTTATATAGTTGGAATAGCCTATAAACTGATGGTAAATAGTAACCGTCGCGTATGAACATAAACAGCACTTCGAACATCATATTACACGTGACGCCCTGATATCACTTATGCGTTGTTATTACTAAGGAAAAGGATGTCATGCGTCTTATCCTGTAATTTTACTGTCTTATCACCCTTTAACTGATACACATATTTTAAAGCAGGCTGCTTGACTGGTAAAGTACGAGAAATACCCTTGCTAACAAGTTTTTACAAAGCCTACCCGCTAAGGTTAGATTATTAGACCTTTTTATTATTTTAAACTAGAAATAAGTTAAAGCATAATTTTCTCATTACAGATGTCCAGTTGGCTGTGTTACATGCACAAGTGCGTTCTGTCTCTCCTGTGATACCAATTGGGAGTTAAATAAAAAAAATAAGTGTGTGCCTTTGGGATCGGAGCGGTGCATTGTTGGAGAGTATACCGATGGACAAAGATGTCACCATTGTCACTCTGCTTGTGAAACGTGTTATGACGAAGATGATTCGCATTGTCTAACTTGTCCATTCCCTAATCTGCTTCAAGATTATAAGTAAGTATAAGAATTATTATTTATATATTTATTAATAGTAGCAAAATATTTATTCTATATTATTATTATTTTAATTTCAGAGGTTTTATTGACTATAAGAGCACAAACCTTTGATAATTTTGTGTTCACATTTTATACAAATTAAAAAATATATTATTGACTTCTATAGTACATCACTTTTTCTACTACACTAACTGTATGGTTTCAATATAGTTAAATTAAGTAACTTTATATGATTCCATTTAAATATTCCGTTACAAAATAATCCAAATATAATTGTTATTACTACTTATTATCTTACTTCTTACTAATATTATAATCGTGGAAGTTTGTGAATATAGATAAGATGCATGGATTTTTGTTACTCCTTCACCCAAAAACTACTCCATGTATTTTAATAAAACGTTACCATAATATATCTTGTAGATTATAGCATAACACAGTCTTTAAATTTCACGCCGCTTAAATCTCAAGCCCAGTTAGTATTGTAACTTTTTTTATTTTAGATGTGTATCGGAGTGTACTCGCGGTTACTACGCCGAAGCAGGCAAGTGCGTGCGTTGCGTACATGGATGCGCTGACTGCGTATCCCGACTCAATTGCACCGCCTGTGCGGGCTCACTGCGATTGCAGTCTGGTGCTTGTAGAACCTCCTGTGCTGATGGGTAAATAAAATTTTATTCTCGTAAGCTACCTCTTGTACAATAACTCATTCCGTTTTAGGTGTCATTCGATGTTTTGGAAATATATTTGTCTTCTGTCTTTTTTTGCATTCATTGCTATAAAGAAAACTAGAGAGAATTTTTTTTTAGAAAGTACCTAGTGACTTTAATTCTATATCTTAACTATACTATATCTTTCTAAGTCATAGCTATCCATCATGAATGGTAGCGAATGGACTGTTCGCTACCATTTTAGGACTAAACAGCTGAACGAATTTTAATAAAATGATTCATGTATAACAGATGAAGGCTATCTCTGTTTAATAACAGACGAAGTTGCGGGTAATAGCTCATTAGATAAGTTATATTCCTTAGGTTTTACGCGGACCGTGGCATGTGCTCCAAATGCTACCTATCGTGTCGCACGTGCATGGGTCCGCGTCGGGACCAGTGCGCCTCGTGCCCGCAAGGTTGGAGGCTTGCCGCAGGAGAATGTCATCCCGAGTGTCCCCAAGGTAAGTATCGTAATTGTATATATATATTTTTAATTATACTTTCTGAAAATACTCCTTCTGAAAGAGAGATCCTTATGTTACTTATATACTCGCTTATATATCATACCTTATCTCAAGATTTACTAATTTATTTATTTAATTAACACAATATAAACTTACAGCTAATTGCCAACACGTTTATGTTTTAATTGTCTAACATACCGAAATATTTTTTGTACAAAGTCAAAGATGTGTTTCGGTTTAGGGCAGTTACAGGATATAAACCAGTGAAATTATGGGGTGTTTCAGTATGACATCTTAGTCCTCGACAATGGCAATTACCAGACGTCAGTCGTACTGTTCATGTATGTAGGAAACAGTTAACCTTACTGCCACCGGTAGGCCGTCAACTTATTTGCCATTCAGTATCCTTTTCTACGAAAATTACGCGTAATTATTATCCCGATTTTGTATTATTATAAAAACTGTTTCTAGGAGAATTATGCGTAATATGTATTAAATTAATTAAATTATATATTATACAACCATGTATTTGGATAAAGATATAGTAGTGCAATATAGCGTACAATAATAGCTTGCTCTGAATTCACGGATTCTAAAAATCATTCCAAAAAATTCGGTATATTTGTTATGTGGCTCAATCGAAATGTTAAAGATTATTCTAAGAAGAATGACTGAGTATTTTAATTCAGTATTTAGCAACTCCTCACTAATAATTTGATAATAATAATAACCCTTTGAAATTCACACGCCATCTAGTCCCAAACTTTTTGTCAAGGGTACTAAACAACTGACTTAAATAATTAGGTACCTACATTTTTTTATAACGTCATACAAAAGAGCGATACAAACATACCCATTATTACTAATGTTTGTACCATTAAAGTTATCGAACCCGCGACTATCGGAAGTACAACCGTATGCTACACAGCTAGACAACCGAGGTGGCCAAAATTTACTTCCAAACACGATGTTACATTAATTAATATTTGCCAGGTTTCTACCAAACTGTCGGCGGTTGCCGTCACTGTCACCACTACTGCCGCGAGTGCGACGGCTCCGGTCCGCTTCACTGCACCTCGTGTCCGCCACGCTTCATGCTCGACGGTGGGCTGTGCATGGAGTGCCTCGGCTCGCAGTACTACGACAATAACAGTGGCACGTGCGGAGCGTGCGACTCGTCGTGCCGAACGTGTTCGGGTCCAGGCCAGTTCAGTTGCACTGGATGCTCAAGGCCATTGAGGCTAGACAGGTTGGTAAATGATTTTTTTTTTCACACTTCGTCAAGTGAATCTAATTTCACCGGTTTACGATATGTTAAGCAGCTCATCGAACGCGCGTGCGTTATAAACGCAAATAGTGAAGTTATATTCCATAGCCTCACTATTTGCTATTTTTCTTTAATCAATTTTCGTACTGATCGCCGCTAGGCACCAGCCAGGCAGTGCGCTGATTTAAAAAAAGAAAACGGCGGAAAAATTGATTATAATGATTTTTTTATTCAGTTTCCTCGCAAGTGTGTTGAAAAATGTTGTACGATATACGTGCGTATTTAACACACTTGTCTCTTTTACGCCCTCACCTACCGCTCTGCCTGAAGTTCCGCCTCGTGTGTTATAACCATCATAACGCACTTATATCGTAATAAGCTATTATAGCATAGGGGTGTGCAATGAAAATGCAAATATTATTTATTTTTACTACATTTCTTGTTTAATTTTATTACTAAGGGCACAAAGTAGCTTGCGGCTAACCTGATGGTAAGTGATTACTGCCGCCAATACCAATACCAGGGAAATTGCAAGTGTGTTGCAATCCCCCATCCAGATGATCAGGATGATATTTTAGTCTCTGGCGGGTAGTGTGATGGTGATATATTCTTTTACCTTGGTATTCTATGCATTACATTTGTATAAATGTATAAATATACTAATACATTTATAGAAAACCTTAACGAATTATCCACTTAAACTTCCGACAGAAATCACTCTGGTCACGGTCGAAAACCTTAGGGAAATCTGTTTAATAGTTTTTTAGATTGTCGCGAAGAAATAGACAGACATGGTAGTGCGGACGACAGATTAAGTATTAAGGCTTTATAACAGTCAAGTTATCGCAATGTATTCTGTAGTACATATTCTCGACTGATATCAGGTAGGTTAAAAGCTCTCTTACACGTGCCATAATAGTATTTGCTTTGCATGACCCGCTGAGTTTAATAGGCTTCTCGCTCGCAGAGTCTAATGTAATATAAACGGACGAATACGAACGGATGGAATATAATATAATTTAAACCTATCTCAGGACAAATCTCGATTTCACGTGAATTTATGAAGTAGCCATTAAAGAAAGTGTATTAATCGTTCAAGTTCCTAGAAGACGAAAGTGACTGGGACAACCCAAAGGTTGACAAGTTAAATTACAACTCTACAATCTTGGTAATTTGAAAATTATTATTAGTTATATTATTTGTTTTTCTTTTTACGAATATTTGGACATTGTTTAGATTTTAGATAAGTAAATAATTTTGTAACTAATTTATTGTTAAATTCGACACATTACTTATTGTTAGGAATAAATAAATGTATGTATTAATATCTTAACTCAGGGAGCCCTTATGATGTTAAATAAAAAGTGTAAAAGAATTGCACAAAATTCTTGTAATCGAATGTAACTTCTTTTATATATTTCTTCGAAGTCAAAACAAATTCGATAGTGTTTCTGTGGTTGGTGATTTATGTGCGATGTTTATTTTTACTGTTTTTAATCGAGTAGATACATACAACTTGCTACGCTTTGCGGTAACGCGCCCCATTTGCTACGGAGCAGCGGAAATTATACGAGGTGTACCAGAAAGTGTATTGAGTCGAAGTCTAGCGTATATATAAAACTGAATAGGGATGATTTCTTTTTTCATATAAATAATCGAGCTAGAGGTAATCTAGTTTATTATATACAATTCATCTGATATTGAATAGCTAGCTAGTAGGCTATGAATACTTAAAATACCAGATTTCATTGTGTTAATTTCTTGTCACATGAACATAGGTGGTACAATAATGTCACTTTTGTACTTAAATTTCAAAATGCAGTTGTTTGACGATAGGTCGAACCATGCAGACAAATTTGTATAGTCGGTAGATTCATTAATCTATTAGAACTGAAAATAAGAAGTTCATTCCGGCTAATTGTAAAGATTATTAAAGTTTAGGTTAGTGTAAAACAATATGAACATAATTCTGTAAAAAAATATTTCCCTAATATGTATATATTATTTTTATTAACTTACGAAATAGGTTTTCGTCTTTGGACTACTTACAACTACAATAGGAAGTAACCCTTCAAAATGGAATATTCTATTGGAGCAAAAGTTATTTTGCCATTTCCAAGAACAGGGACGTTTAACACAACTGTCTAACGTAACACAAAAGCGTTTTTGATTGAGGGGCTGCAACTAGGGTTGCCAACTGATGGAATTTAATCGGAACGTCTTGATTTGGGACCTTTGTGTCCCGAACGCAAATTGTGGAGAGAAATTATTTTTAATGTATTTGGAATGGCGATTTACCTGAAGGCACACCTGATCATAAATATACATAAACAGCATCACGGATATCATATCATGTGTAGTGATACCTCACATGCATCGCCATTTGTGAGGAGAAATTTGTCATGCTTCCAAATGAATTGTACATACATACTGCCATATGTCACTCTTCAACTGAGCTACAGCGTATAAAGAAAGTTAAAATAGTATGACACAAAGGTATCCCACACAAACTTTGTAGTCTTTATTTTTATAATGGTATTTGCTGGTATTACGGTAATACGGGTATTCAATTGTGCCGGATATAAACGTCAGAATATATTTTTATTCGTATACCCACTATATTCGTTATTGGCCGCGTCAACTTTGTAACACGAGTCATATTGCCAGTCAGACGTATGAATACATGAGACTAATTCGAGAAGCGTAGAGATCCTTTGTGTAAAAAATTACTAAAGCCATTTTTTCTGATACACGAATTCTGTTTTGCCTATTCCATGTTTTGTTTTCATTATATGTTTGTCGATTAAATCCCGAAAAAATAATCATCAGAGTTGGTCAACCTATCTATAGCCCTCAGTAGACATGTTATATGCGAGTTGTCAAGGGTACCTCGAGAAGCGTCGAGAGCTCTAAAGCCGTAGTGAAAGGACTTAGCAGCCTTTAACAGATGTTCTTCGAATATTCAAGTTATGATCTTTGTATGGTCAGTGAAATAAGGTTTTGTACTGTTACGATCTTTTCAAATGACATTGGTCTAGAAAAAAAAATTATCGGTTTCGCCTACTCTATTTTGCCATCTTCAGTCAAGTAGGTAGTAGGTTTAATAAGACTAGTTAACTTTCTTCCAGGGACAAATGATACATTTTTATACCTTTTAAATTGATCATAGTTGAAATAATTTATACTTAGATACTTATATATAACTTGCTACCCGCACGGGTGGACATGTATTACATAAACCTTGCTCTTGAATCACTCTATCTATTGATAAAAACTGCATTAAAATCGGTTGCGTAGTTTAGAAGATCTAACTGAACAGATAGCGGAAGTGACTTTAGTTTTATACTATGTATGGATAGACGCAATCATATTCAATACTTGAAATGATATTATACCTGTAGACCATCAATTATGAGTCTCCTACTAATATTATAAACAGAAAGACAGATATTTCTTTTATGGGAAAGAAACTCCGGTACTACTGTACCAATTTGAGAAATTCTTTAACTGTTAGAATGGTACATTATTTCAGAGTGATATATATTATATTATATAACTAATATTATGTTTAATATTATGTTTAACATTTAAACAATTTTTTTTTATTTCCATTTTATTACTACATATTTGATAATAAAAATAAATACAAGCCATAATTTTCAGCCTCCTGCCTCCAATTCCTATTTTTAATAAGGAATTGACTTGACTGTATATAGCACAACAACATTTGCCGGGACAGCTAGTATATAATATATAAACATTATGTACGTTATGTTTGTCTAGATTAAACAATCAATGTGTGCCGTGTTGTTCGGGCGGCACGTCGACCAACACTTCAGCGGGCCCCGACTGTTGTCATTGTCATCCTGATACAGGTGAGTGTGTTCAGTTACCAACTGATGACTCGAGGCTTTGTCGACGAATTATAGGAATTTAGATAAATAGTAAAATACAGCTTTTTGGCTTTATTTGGGAAACATGTTCTCTAATTGTCTTTATTTGATAAGTATGTATAATATAATAAAAAAGCATGCAGTTGTGTTAGATTTCCGTTTATCTTCTTATAGATGGATCACTAGTAGTAGTAGCTACAGTATTATAATACTAATCGTTATTGATACAGCTGCTAACGAATATTAATTTTCGACTGTACAAAAAATATAAATGAATGAGTTAATTAATTGATTTATTATTTAAACTATTTGTGAATAAAATTAGGAATAAATATTTTTTTCTGGTAAAATAGAAGTCTAGTAAAATAGGAAAAAAATAGAGTGTTTTATATTTCATATTTTTATACTTTATTACCTACATACATGCAAATGGCATATACAACGGTGTTAAAATACATGAAATAGAGAATCCCATATTTTGAATAAAGAAGTATTACATATGATTGTGAATAGTTATAACGGCAGAGGAAGGCCGAAAAAGAGATGGATGAACTGTGTGAAAGATGATATAGCAAGAAAGGAATTAAATAACGAGATGACTGCGAGCAGGGAATCCGTTCATGGAAGAGAAACATATGAAGACCCCCAAATGCCCATTCATTTGGAGGTCTTCATATGTTTCTCTATAAGGAAGATGGGGATGGTGAGAGGATCGCTTATATTTAAAGGATATTTTAGGACACTCTATATTACAGGGGATTGTATAAATTCGTCGGTGGCCGGCAAGAGACGAATCGCGGAGTGGTCCGCCCTACACACCGCGCCGAACGCGCACGCCGCGCCCAGCGTCGCTGCAGTCACGCTTAGCGTATGCGCAGTCGCTGTGGGGCTATTTTTAACAGTACTTGTAGTTTTACAGGTGAGATATCGTATTATCTATGCTAATATTATAAAGCTGAAGAGTTTGTTTGTTTGAAGGCACTATTGGTTCGAATTGAAATATTCTTTTTGTATAGGGTAGTCCATTTGTCGAGGAAGGCTTTATGTAACATTACGCTACGACCAATAGGAGCGGAGCTGCAATGTAAATATTGCAACAGGTGGGGATATGCGCAGACGCAGATGAAGTTGCGCGGATCAGCTAGTGTATAATATAACTGTTGTTGTATGTTTCAAAGTAAAAAGACAACATTGGCTTGGCTTTTGTTTACAATGATACTTATGGGTTTATTTACAATGATAATTAATGATAATTATACATCGTTGTAACACTTGCAAAGAATTATGGCTAGTAAGACAAACTCAATATTGTCTAATAAGCACTGCCGTGTCTAAACCGTGTCACCGCACCTTACATTACTTGGTTACTATCGTTATTTAGTATATAAGATCATTATTTTTATGTACATTTTGTCAGTCCATTATCATCTGTAATATGCATTGTCTCAACCGACAATAAAGTATTATTACCCCGCAATAATACTCGTTAAATATTTTTGATATGTTCTATGTATACAGGTATTTCTTTTAAATATTCAATAACTTGAAACAAATATTCAGTGCAGGTAATGATCAATTACGCTTATTTATGTAAATCGAGTAGAATTTATTGGACATGGAAGTGATTTAGTTATGATTTATGATCAAAATATCGACCTGCAATTCCAAAATGCAAATAGAATTAGTGTCCGAATGCATATCTGATGCGCGTCATAATGTGTATGATTTAATATTAGATTATTTATGTGGATTCAGTTTTAGAACTGTGATGCTACCTCGGTGGTCTTGCGGTTTAGCACACCGTCTTACTTCCGATGGTCGCAGGTTCGATGAGTTGTTTGTTTAAAAGATACGTAATAATACCAGAAATCACACAATGTCATCTATTCCCAGGATAAGCAGAGCTTGTGTTATGCGTACTAGACAACTGATATAATACCTAAACTGTTTTTTGTAAATATATGAATATAATATAAATACATATAAAACACCCAAACCGAAATGAACAATCATACTCAAGAATACAAATCTTTCTATATCAAAATCGAACGCACGACCATCGGAAGCAAAGCGGTGTGCTAAACCGCAAGACCACCAGAGGCTGTAAGCCGTAATGTAATCATATTATTATTTTGTTGTTTAGATGCGTAGCCCTCGCGAGCAACGAACACGTTCGCGAGGCGCCAGAGACATCCTCTACTCGCCGCTCGCGTGTAATGACGACGGCGAGGTCGCCGTACTGAACACTCGCACCGCCTTCCCCGTACGAGAGAACGGCGAACGAACAATCAAACACGTGGAAAAGGAACCGCTTCTCGAACATTCTATATAGCGCGCGCTGTGATCGTAGACGTAAGTGTACGTACCTGTAACGTGTGCGACGGTGCAATTGATGCCGTTTGTGATTTTAACGTTACGTAAGTTTAATTAGTGATACGCGGTCACAACTTCCTAATTATCGAAATTATGATTCGAACGACGTTTCGGTAACGGAAAATTGTTACTTTGAAATTTCTTTTCTAATGTGACTGTACAATTGTGTTCGAGAGTTATGGCATTTGTTTTACAACGATTTTGGACACACATTTCTAGAAAATTGTATACATAGAAACGTAAATTTTTTATTCCAATATATTTTTGGCAATGCGATCCTTGGGTCGCGCGAAGTTAATACGAGTCGTAATTGTACGTATGTAATATAGTTAGAATGTAAATTGTAAGTTTGAACAAATTGTTCTTGTTACGATGGGGGTCGGCTGCCTCTGAGCAGCTCTTTGTATTGTGATATGGAACCATAATTCTAACATTTAGTTAGCCGATTTGTTGTTACGCAATTAAAATTAGAATATCTCCGTCTTAAATGATTATATCTAAAAATCTTATAATTTATTTATTGATATTTTTATTCGAACCATGCCTGTGGAGTGTTTTACCTCCTGTCTGTCTCTCTCTCTCTCTTATACTCTCTATTTCTCTCTCGTTCTCGAATTTATTTTGGTTCAATAATATTATTTTCAATAAATAAGTTATAAGCAAATACGACTTAATAATACATAATATTTGGTAAATGTGTCCGTTTTCTGTATACGGTCATAACGAAATACACAATTATTAGGCAACTGGCATCTTAGTGATTTAGAATCAATAGCCGTCCAGTAAACCTCTGCAGAACTTGAGCTTTGGACATGAAATCAATAGGACCACGTGACCGGAATCAACGTGCTCATGTCGTTGAACTATGGTATTTGCGTCAAATTTGAACGTGTATCATATCGAGGTATATTACATTATCAAACAGTGAAACCTCGATATAACCATGCTGGCAATTAGAAAATATTCGTTGGTTGTATTGTTTATACTTATTTCCATGAATACTGGGATTCTAAATATAAATTTATGAATGATATTGCCAACCGATCTTTTACTTTTTATAATCAGATTAAATTTAAAAATTTTCATGATTATATATACTTATAAAAATAGAATACTCGTCGATTTCTAAATATTATTATCCACAATATATATACTACGTCATAAAAAATTTATAGGTCAAACTTGTATATGTAGAAATTAAATAGTCATTACTCAATTTTTTACGGGCACTAAAATAATAATTTACAGCAATCGAGGATTCGAAAGTTTCTGGGTATAAGACAATTTACTGGTAAAGTAAATCCTCTTGATCTTCTTTTTTCTTTTTAATTATGAAAATATTAGGCTAGTCACTGGAAAAAGCTGTCAATCAATTTCTCATTTTTGCGTAACAGCAAATTCACGCTAAAGTGACTAAATAAGAAGCCATAGTCGTTGCCACAATTAGCTACTGTTTCATGACTTAAAAGATCTACATCGGCTTCTAAACGTCTCAATATAATAAATATGTACATTATAATTACCTTATTTAATTGTAATATACCTACCTAGTTTGTAAGTCCAGAAGTTACCATATGTACAATACTATTGTGGAATCTGACGTTTTAGCGCCAACACAGATTTTTGACCATAGACAAGTTTTATTTTTTTAATTTAAAATACATAATTATGCCTTATCATACTTTTATGATTGTATTTAAGTAGAAAATCTTAACCTTAGTTTTTTATTGTTTAGTAAAATTCGAATATTATGTTGTACTATTTCTATTAGTTATCTCGATACCTGCTATTTTATAATCTGTCACAAATATTTTTATATCGAATTTAATTTAGGATCGAATGAAATTTAAATCGATAAGTACGGAATGTGATACCAATCTACAATGTGCAATGATCACAAATTCTATTATCTCAAAGTCAAAGATGAACTGTTACCATCACAAATGTATATATAGAAATTAGCTAGATTGTTGAATTTTTTAAATAAATCCTATTATATCGTAACTCGAAAATTATATTAAGTCACAACAGCTGTTTGCTCCTCAATTTATTTTGGTCTCAAAATATAAAATTGGTAATCTTAATTTATTATGTTTATAATTATTTATGTGAATGAATTATTTTAGTAATTATTTAGTAAACCTTCTTGACGTCTGATATATGGCGTATATAGTTTTTAAATTGTTTAACAGCTGCTCCATTTTGAAAGGTTTAAAGCTTATTTGAGCTGTATAGAAACGCTGTTTCTATTGCAATTTTGTAATTTGTTTTAGTGGGAATCGTTTTTAATTAAGAATATATTTTTGTATGAAATATTCTTATGTGCAATTAATATTTGTAATAAAAAGGAAGTCTGTGTCGAGATATTTTACTTTTATTCTCTTCATTTTCCCTTTGAGCGTGTTTCGAACAAAGAAAATATCCAATTTTAGATATACAGAAGGTGAGTGGGTATTAGGGATGATCGATATTTGAAAAACGTCAATGTCGCTATCGATCTGTAACTATCGATAGATAAACATAGAATGAGGAACATCGATGCTTTCTCCGAGCCTGTATGATATGTTATTTTACGTTTGGTTATTATATATCGGAACCTATTTCGAATATCCATTTTATATTTGGCGTTACAGTTGACTAAAAAGCGATGCTTCGATATTATCGACTTGACATCGATGTATATCAACACTAGTGGGTAACCACAAACACGAAGCTACTCTCGAACCTAATATGCGGTGTGAAGAGAAGTATGTATATTAATAATACGTGTATTATTATCCTGGCAATATTGGTGGTATGGCTGTTTAACATACATCTTCATCTTTCTATAGAGCTGGATCGAACACAGGACCATTAAAAAATATTATTATAATTGTATGTAACCGTCGAATTTTATCTTTTTACTGTTAGTGATTTAAAAGTCAATTGGATACTATTTTTCAAATTGCGGCTTACAATTATAAGTATTATCTAAATAGACAAACTTTAAGTTATTTACCATCAATTTCGAAGACATACCTTCACGCCTGTTAGGCCAGATGGGGGGTTAGGCCAGTTTGTGGGATTATCACCAGAATGTAATTTACATTCAACATTCGGCAGTATACATATATGTATGGATGATAATGGAATGGTGCACCTGTCTACGCTAATAGTTTACACTGACTGGGCAGTAGTGCAGGATGATTAGATGAATATGTGGTCAGGTCAGTTAGCCCATTGTGACTAATTCATCAGGAACATATGGTGGTTTTCCGACGAAACCTCGTGGAGGTCAACAACGGTATATTGACATACAACGGTACATTGCTAGTAATAAGGTCAACAATCCACATTACTAACAATCCCTTTACCCCGGCAAGCATATTTGAATCCAACATGGTAGGGAATGACACTAATCCCAGTCTCTTGTTTTAATTTGATTTTATGTTGTTGCTTCGTGTATTATAGAGTCAGAGATGTAGTTGAGAAAAAAAACTCTTTGTATTGTCCTGTAATCGAATCTGCAGCCTTTGGGGTCTAAATAGGGAACTTTTAAGCCATGACGCTCTCAACTACATACGGTTACATATCTATGTTAATAGGTACCAATACTAAAACACGCAGGTGAACCGCATATTATTGTCCGGGATCGAAGGAGACCCTTGTTATTTGGACCTCGAATACATTACTAGGCCAATATATGGGACTTGGTATTTGCATAGTATTGTCCGGCGTATTAACATTTAGACTGGCCCCGCTAAGGTACAGACAATAGGTACCTTGTTTTCAATGTGGGTACGGAGTCTATTGTCGAAATATGCCAATTTCAGGATTGGTAGGCTTTATTTATGTGGAAATTACAAAGTAAAGATTTATAACTTTACATCTATGTAGTAATTTTGTCAGTTAGAAAGTTGTATTACTGAGTAGCAATGTATTGTTTACTAGCTGACCCACGCAACTTCGTCTGCATCTCACTTACTTGACATTTATCATTATATATCGACCAACATTTCTGTTTGGATTATAGCCATGTGTTATTCTGATGTAAAGTAATAACTTTAAAGTTTCAACAGGAGGTCCGTTGCTACTACGTGGGCCGGTGCTGGCAGGGATCCGGTCTAATTCCTTGCCATCAGTTATGTTGAAGCGTAAAGCAATCATATATGGTAAAATAATGTCAAATATGTCAAAGTTTCAACAAAATCCGTTTAGTAGTTTTTAGTGTGAAAGAGTAACAAACATCTATCCATAGTCACAAACCTTCGTGTTTATAATATTAGTAAGATTATTTTTATAAGCATAGTTTTTTATTTAGGTATAATTTACAATAATGAACTGAACGACCAGCTGAGGTTTACTCGCGAGACTACAGCATGAGGTTTTTCGAGATGGGTGTATTAAGGTTTCTTAAGGGTCGACAACACGTACATGACTACGTGTTTCAGCAGTCCATAGGGTACGGTAACCGTTTACCATCAGATGGGCCGTATGTTTGTTTGCTACCATCGTAGCATAATGATGACGATAGTACAATTCATGTATGCTGATACCAGTTGCCATTTTCCATTGATCTTGGTGTTATTTCTATCTGGTCTCTCAAGTAACGTTTGAAAAATCTGTACAGTAATAAGTGATATATAATAGGAGTGTATAAATTGTAAGGAGACCGCAAGATTTTTACTTTGTTAATGAGTTGGGAGAGGTTGAAATCGTATCATTTTGTGACTTTATGGAGTTTTAATAGAATAACTACAGTAACTTGAAGTAGTAGATAAAATCAAAGTAATTTCGTAGTAATCTATAGATTTCTGATAAATAATATTAATATTGCCTCTACCTCACCTCAAAAACTAACTTTTAACCCTGCCTCTATACTCATAATAATAAGCAAGTAATTGACTGAGGAAAGGACATTGAAATTTATTATTATTAATTTATTATTGATTTCATCAATTCCCGATTTGGGATAAGGCGTCTATTTTCATATCGCCTGAAGTTGTATGGGTCAACATACATACTTATAGAGTAGTTGGTCTACTACACGAACAGGAACTAACTTCTAAGAATATTATTTCTGCTCCAACTGTCAGCTTAACTTCTTACTTAAAACGATCGATATCACGTGTTCCTATGAGAATGATGTCCATTTATTTTTACTAGATATGGCAAGGGATGAGAAAAGAAAAGATAATATAAGCAATGTACGCAGGTATTGGTCGTCATGACATTTTGTATGTAAGTTAGATTAGAAAACCACGCTCATAGAACACAAATAACGCTTACGTAAAATAAATTGATGGCCTCGATGATCTATTGGTTTAGCATATCGCACCGCCTTATTTTGGATGGTCGCGGGTTCCATTTCCCGCAACCATGACTAACCTCAGGCCAATACATACACACGTATGTATTTGTGACATTGGTCTGGGTGTTTTGTATATATTTACAAAAAAGGTATTTAAATATTTCCATCACTTGTTTTAGTACCCATTACACAAGCTTAGCTTGTAACAAGATGGTGTTGTGTAAGTTATCAAGGGTATATAAAGGCCCAAAGTCAAAATATAAAACTTTTAACTTATACCTGCATGGTTATCTATCCTTTGAATATCCAAGATACAAATTAAAGCTCACCATACAACTTCAGTACCGGTAGCACTGCATAGGTTTCTTAGATAGAGTAGTTATGGCTTCAGTGCGATTGGACTTACTTCTGAAATATAGAGTCTAGATAGATTTCTGGGAAGAAGAGGATTATTAGTAACTACCTGACCCGCGGAACCTCGTCTGCATCTCATTTTCTTCTGTTTTTGCATTATTTTTCATTTCAGATCCGTTCCTATTGGGTATACCGCGATGTTATACAGCCCATAGTGTTAAACGATAAAAGGGATATTCGACTTTAAAT